ATAATAAGTGGAAGAATTATTATCGTTATCAAAGTTATAAATATTGTAATCAATGTCGTTGTTATCAACTGGTTCGATTTCCTCTTTTTGTTTACGCTTTTGTTTAGAGGGGTTAAATTTGAGTGTGGATTGTTTTCGAGTTCTTAATCGTTGTGGTTCTCTGGTGAAAGAATTGTCCGAATAATTAGATGTAGTAGTTGATTTAGGTTGACCAAAGTATTCTCCTTGTCTTATCCTTTGTTACAAGTGGGATGTCTTTTCAGACCAAGTACTAGAACTAGATCCTTCGGCTATTACTGAATTAGGTTGACTAGAAGGATAGTGTGATTTGGGAGGAGCTAATAAATTTGTTTCAACTAATGATACTTCTGGTTTTTCTTTTGGAATACTTGATTCAGTTTCTATAGCAGTATCTTGAATATCTATCTCTTCTAACAAGTCTACAACAGTAGAAAAAGGTTTAGGTTTTGTTCCTGGTCAGGTGTGCTTTGGAATTGTAGGTGATTTAGTTTTTGCAGTAACGGGGATGAAATATTATTAGGCTCGTCAACCTTTGGGGACTGCATAGTATAGTCTTGTGATGACGTCACAACGGAAAGTAGTTGTGGTGTAAAGATAGTTTGCGAGAAATCTTCTGGTGTACTTGAAGCTAATTGCTCCAATCATTTTGTAACGTAAGTAATAAGTGATTCAATGGGTGGTATCTTTTTACTCAAAACTGCGAATTATTTATTTATTTAAAGTGCTTATAGAATATTAATTTAAGAAGGAAAAATTTTCTTTTAACTGGTTTAGGTCACTTAAAATTTGATAACAGTTATTTTGAATTCGAAAAAGTAAATTATATTGGTTCTTGATTTTACGTAATTCTAAAAAGTTTTTTAATTTCCACATGGATTTTTCTGATTCGGATGTTTGATCGATTATATATTTTGTCTTTTGTCAATAAAGTTCTACGATTTCTTTGATGATTTTATTAAGTTCTTGAATTTGTTCAGTATTAATCATAGAAATAAATTACTAATACTAAAAAGTGTAAGATTATGATTTTCTAAAAATATGACTAACTAATTAAGGTCTTTGTATCGAAGGGTAACTAACTAAAAGAAGATAAATTATAAAATACTATATTAGGGTTATCAAAATAAGGGATAGAATAATTATAAAAATTTCGATTTGTTTCTGTTAGAAGGTATCAAATTGTTACTAGTTAACCTGTCGGGTGAAATAAGGTTCCAACAGGAGATTTACAACTAGTAAACTTAAGCGATTCAAGTTAGATAATTAAATTATTAATCAAAAATAATTAAACTAATTTTAAGTACGAAGGATGAATTATAATTTCAAGGACTAAATTAAATATATTTATTAAATTTATTATTCAAAGATTCAATATAACCAGATAAAGTGTGCTGGAAAGTTTAAGACAAGTTAAGATAAATATTAAAGGAGTAAATTATATATTAATTAGAAGAAACAACCATGTTGTAGTCTTGCAAACTATTGAGAACTATAAAACTTCTTGGATTTCACCTTCCCAGATCAGGGAAGACTCATATTTATATTCCTTTAATTTGCTGCACGCAACGATCTACCAAATTAATGATTTACTAATTTTAGCAAGAGGTAATCAACCTGGTGATCCACCTGTTATGTGCAACAGGTAATTTACCTAGGTGATTCACCTGGTAATCAACCTGGTGAGTCACCTGTTACATGATCTTTGATCAACATAAATTACAAATAAATAATAAATATATTAAATAACAATATAATAAAAATAAATAAAATTAATATTCTACAATATTTCACTAATGATAAAATATATTTACTAACTATGCTATAACAATTATTTTTTAGTTGTCTATGTTTATTTCTATTATTATTATTATTATTATTATTATTGTTGTTGTTATTATTTATTGATATTGTTACTACTATCTCTACTATTATTACTGACATTGTTATTATACGTGTTGCCCAAAATCCCAAATTACTAGTATTTGGGATTTGGGATTTGAGATTTCAGCAAAAAATACTAATCATAATTTGGGATTTGGGATTTGGGATTTTGGCATTTGGAATTTCGGCATTTGGATTTTGAATTTGGGTGGCAGGTATAATTGTTATTAGCAATAATTATTTCATTATTTTGATTTAATACCTTTCTTTTATTTATATTCTTAATTCCATTTTCTAATTCCCATTGTTTTATAATTTTATAATGATAATTTCAAATATTTGTTCTTATATATTCCTTGAAAATTACTATTGTTTCTTCAAAATTTTGAACACTTCTCTTTTGTTTTGTGTCTGTGATGATATAGTATTGTATAATGAATTGGAAATGTGTCCAATGATAATGTCAAGAAATGATAATTCATTTTTGTTATCATTCTTTTCATCTTTAGACTACTTTAGTTCACTTAACCCATAAATTTCGTCTTTGAGTTTATCAGTTTTTGTTTTTTTTTTAGCTATCTTACTAAATTGATTTATCAGAATATTTATAAATTTATCTTTGCACATTTGTATATTTACTAAATTTGAATTGCATGTGAATGCATGTAACTGGTCTTCAGTAATATTATCATTACATCACACGCATTTATTATTTTTATATATCTTTGAAAATCTACTATACATACACTTCATTGTAGGTAATTTATTGTTGAACAATTTCATATTAAAAGCTTTTTCTCTATTTTCTTTGTTATTTGTTACAGATTTTTCTTTATATGATAATGTATTGTATTCCACATGATTTCCCAGTTAATATTTTGACTTTTGTAATCAGATATTGAATTTCTATTCTTATTTAATAATCTTCAGTTTACTGTAGATTTTGTTATACCCAACTTTTTCATAAATCCACGGAAGGAGACCTCTATGTTAATATTATTCCAATATCCAATTGCATTAACTGATATTAGTTTTCCAATTTTGGGTGTACATGTTGGCTTAAGAATTTTCATTTTAATTATTTCATCTACACGTTCATTAAAAGTCACTCCAGAGTATACCTTCACCTTATATAAATATAAATTAATATTATGATTATTTGCAAATAAAAAAAAAAGTGAAAATATATATATATATATAAATAAAAGATACTGATAGATACCCGATAAAAGGAAAAAAACTACCCGATACACAGAGATATACCGTGCCTGATATATAGAGATATACTATGACCGATTTATAAAAGATATATAATTGATAAAAAAAATAAATAAAATCAAGTGCCCGATATATGAATGATGAATTTGAATAAAATATCAAAATATTAATATCCGATATGAACCTGATAAATGTCTGAACTTCTATATTTCGACCTTACCAATCGGGTACCTGATATATTACATAATTGTTAATATCTGACACCTATTATATACCTATCGGATTCCCAATAGGCATATGATAGGTATCTGATATTTTCTATTTCGACCAGTGTAAGCCACATATATTGGATGTACAAAATTATAATAAATAAAATTTTAACACAAATATTTTTATAAGTTCATATTTCAACAGTAATTAATAGATTGAATTTAAATTTATGTAAATTTTTCTTAAAAATTTACTTGTGAATTATTATCTAACATGTCAATGGATATTTGATTTTTTAGAAAAGTTCCATTGATTTTTTTTTCCAAAAGAAGCTATTAGCAGCTTAGCTATATCTTATGAATTTGATAAAGAAGAGTTACAGTATTTTATCTCAATGAGATATGATATATCTAATAAAATCTATGACACTGAACTTATATCAGGATATATGTTGACGCCTTCGAATTAAAAGGTAAGTATTCCTATAGAAGTTTAAAAAATATTATGTGAATGGTATATAATATTATATAATAGAAAAAAGAAAGATATAAATGTGTATATGGAAATAACTATAAACCAATATGCAAGATTAATAATTGATAATGAAATATTTGAATCTATGATCACTAGACAATATGAAAATAATATAATTATATTAGTAAAGTAAAAAGTATACAGAGATAGAAACAGTGATATTTATCTTGGAAAAATATAATATTATTTCGAACATATTTTAACACTTTCAAAAGAATCTAAAACACATTTTATAGTATATATCAAATGGTATAAAAATGCACCTTTCTCTAATATACAATTTAAACATAAATTTATGAAATCCAATAAGTCAAATACAGAATTATAGAAAGCAGAATACTGTGAGGAAGGTTAAAATTCAATTATAGCAGTGTATAGAATATATGGTCAAGTAATTAAGATAAATTATCAAATGGAAAAAAGTAATAATTATGTGTCAATAATTCTATTGAATAGAAGATTTATTGTTTAATTTATTTAATTATTTATTTTATTTATATTATATATATTATTTTTATATAAATGATAAATTATAGTATATTATATTGGAAGTAAGTTGTGGACTTATCTCTTATGAGTTAGTCCAAGTCTCATCTTTTCAAATAAATATTAGAATAAGTTGTGTATTTTGTATTATGTAATCTTATGTAATGTAAAAAACTTTTTCTTTTTTTAATTAATAAATTTGAGGCAAGACCTCGTTGGAACAAAAAAAAAATATAGCATATTATATCTTATATTTTTATTGTTTTAAATAATCTCTTAGCATGTATGAAAACTTGATTTAAACTTGATTTGAGAAGTAAATATTATATTTGAACACAAGAAATTCAATATTGTGTTTTTGATAAGTATAAATAAAGGTTAAAAATATAATCTGCTAAAATGTATATCAGGTGCTTGATATTATTTATACATATTGGTGAGTTGATATTATTTACACATATCAGTAATCCAATAGTTATAAAATAAATATCATGCACCTGATAGTTGTAAATAAATATTGTGTACCTGATAGTTATAAATAAATATTAAGTAACCAATATTTATTACAAAAATTGAGTATTTTAATAAATATTGATAATATTTAATACACTTATCAGGAATATAAAAAATTTGATTTAAAAAAAATATTAGGTACTTTAATATATTGGACACTTAATTTTTTATAAATGACTGATATCTCCTTAACTAGTATTTATTTACACCTATTGATAATTTATTGGAGAGCCTAATATACCTGCCACCCAAATTCAAAATCCAAATGCCAAAATCCCAAATGCTGAAATCCCAAATCCCAAATCCCAAATTATGATTAGTATTTTTTGCCAAAATCCCAAATCCCAAATCCCAAATACTAGTAATTTGGGATTTTGGCGTCCCAAATCCCAAATGATTTGGGATTTGG